GGAGTTTCATTATATTTATCACCCATATTAATGCTTTAGGTATGGGCAATACTTTATATCTTGTCTACTTCGATGTACCTATTTTCTGGGCTGCAAGTGTCAATTAAACGTACCCGACTTTGAGTACCAAGAATAAATGATCTGAACATGAGAATCGCAAACTGTATCAAGTATGACAACGCGATACTTTCTAGTAAGAATGACTCAAGAATTATCCCAAATTATTTCCGTCAACCTTTGCCATTTCCCTTATTCGTAATGAGGCATTATTTTCTCTTATTTTTAATCCATTATAGCAGCGCTATTGGAAAACCAAATGAAATTCTTTCACAACCCAGAGAAATTGCATTAAATAAGGTTTCATAATAATAATAATCTATGTTTGATATCTAACACAAACAATTCAAGGAATACCACCTCAATCAAATTCAATCTTGAAATCAAGGTCATTTTTGTGCACAGCTTTGAATGTTCGTATTGTTGTCACCATAATGAAGCAAGCAGCGCTTGAAACCAAAGGTTCCCGTTATTTCAGTGAAAAGGACAAAAACAGAATTGCACGGGCACACAAGCTGGGATTTTTCATATCACATCTTGCCCAATGCTTTAACATTAACAAAAGCACAACTGACAGGATAATCCATGGGAAAACAACAACCCGAAAAGCTTTTGGGGGCCTTAAATTGAGTACATCCAAACAGGAGGACGAACTGATTTGTATTACTCTGAAAAAACATTGCAGAAGATTGTTGTCGTTTACCCAACGGGAAGATCTTCCCCACCATTCACACTCCGTTCTGCAGAGTTGAATGAAAAAATTTAAGATGCGCCAGGTTTCAGCTGAAGTCAGGCTAGTATTCAACACGCAGTAGTCTGTTCACTAATTATTTGTCTTCAGACTTCAGAAAAGATGCTTAACTCTAAGGTTCAGTTTATGCAACTTCTTCCTAATATCCCGGATCTCAACGTGATTGAAAATCTGTTTTCTGTTTTGAAGAGATAGGTCAATGTGCTACCTATGCATTGGACCTTGGAGGCAAAAGTGTGATACGTAATGGAGCACAACATAGAAAATGACTTCATAACAAAGTTGGTGGGTTTGACGCCGAAGAGACTCAAAAACTTTCTAAAGAACAAAAACAGACCAATCGAATACTAGTGTACACAAACTTTACATCTTGCTTATTATCAATGTTCATTTGTTGCCAATAAAAACTGTTCCATTCTCTTTAGTTACCTCTTGACTCATCATGGTCTNTCATGGTCTAGGTCAACCACTACTGACGAAATGGGAGTATCCGCTACATCTTGAACCACTCCATCTGCTGAGTATAAACGATTCAGGAAAATCACGAATATAAAGACTCTCCGAAACTTGTTTGTTATTACTTTTGAAAAATATTTACTTCAGTATAAATGCTGTTGCCCATACGAACCGACAAGTGCTTCACAGGGACCTGTTGCTTTAGTTTCGATTAGACCTGTATATATATATATATATCACTCGGTATGGATCAGGAAGAACAACCGGTTAGTCAAGGCAAAGTATATTGTTCCTTCAAAGTACAAGAGTTCAGTTTGACCACGCTCGAGAGTATCTGAAAGCGAAAATGCTTAGCAAGCCAAGGCGTAGCACTGAACTCACGCACCGTTTAAAGTGAAGTTACTTCATCCTGGCGGGATCTCTGCTACAAAGGAGAAGGGTGTACGAGCAAATGCTCTAAGCAACCAATGCCTGCAGCCATGCGGAGGCATACATGCGGAAAAGGCAGATCAAAGTTGGTGACAACTCTC